ATACAATATATGAAACCACTGCTGGCTCTGAAGAGCCTGTCTTCTTGGATGTAATCCTTCTGTCTGGGAATAGCACAAAGATGATTCCTCTAAACTCACTTCCTTAGTTCACCAGCCACTCAATGCATTTGCTCATCATGAAGACAGAATAAGTTCAGTAAACTACAAAAACCACATAGTTAATAAGGATCCCACCAGCAACAGAGCAGACAGATCCTCAACTTTGACCAGTTTCCCAGTGTACCAAGGCTTCCTGCTTTGTGAATTCTGGAGGCATAGTTATGAGTATTACACCAAAAGAGATAAAAGCCTCTTCTGGGGGATAGACTCCTTAGGATCATGGCCCAACCACATGTGTTATACAAGGAGAGGTAGTCATTGAAACAGGAAGTTGTGGTTTATGTTCTAGCAAATTACTAGTTATATTACAGTGTTCTCAAGTTTTAGGGTGCATTACACATTTGGAATTTATTGCAACAGATTCCTGGGAACTACCCCTGGGATTCTTATTTACTAGGTGTGTCCTGAGGCCTGGGAATTATCCTGTGATGTTCATGCTGCCAGTCTATGTACATTTACATTAGTTGGAACTTGTTAGTGACGCAAATGCTCAGGTGCACACCCTCACACTGAATGAAAACCTCTAGGGATGGCACCTAGCAATCAGTTTATTTTCCCTTTGGTACTAGGGTTTGAACTCAGGACCTTGAGCTTGCAAGGCAGGTGATGAACCCACTAAGCTAAATCCCAAGCCCTAGCAATCAGCTTTTAACTTGCCTGTCAAGGGTCTGACACACACTCATTTCAAGAACTGCACAAGAGCTGGACGTGGTGGTGTATGTTTGTAATCCCAGAATTCTGGAAGCCTGAGGCTTCCAACCCCAAGTTCAAGCTCATCTAGGTAACTTAATGCCCTAGGGAGACACCGTTTCTCAAAATTTTTTATATGTAAAAATATTAAAAAGGACTGGAATATAACTCAGTGCAAAAACCTCTGGGTTCAATCCCCAGCACCACAAAACAAATGAGGAACCTGCATAAAAATATCATTTGTAGTGTTTACTTCCACCTGGCCTGGTCCCATGGTGAGATATAGCACTTGGGCTTCTGTGTTTCACTTTAACCAAAGTGGTGGCCCTAGGTGATCATTAGGAAAGACCTTATAGACAAAGATATGGGGCCCAGCAATGGTGCTTCCTGAGAGGCTGACACTGTCAGTTTGGGCAGGTGCAGGTCACTTTTGCCTTTGGAGGTCTGGAGCAGCTATGGAAGGACTTGAGGGTCATTTCCTGCCTTGGTTTGAGTGACTCCCACCCACAGCTGTTGCTGGATGAGAATTTCAGAGATTAGGGAATGACCCCTGCAATCTGATTGCTACTTATTTTCCAGGAGATCCATAATCAGCCCAAGATTTGCTGTGACCTTGGCAGAAATCCTGCAGTTGAGAGAAAAAGCATATTGCCAGGTAATCATCAAGGGCATTCCAGGTCCTGGAATCTTGACTAAGGCATTACCTGAAACTGGTGCCTCAGTGATTGTGCTTGAAAATCACAGAAAGTTTACTCCTCATTTGAAGTCCTCAGGGAAAAGCTGAATGGAACACTAGAAGTGGTCCACTGTGATGTTTAAAAAATGGATCCTAGCAATCATAATTTAGTGAGACCACCCATTGCACTTTCACAAGGGAATTTTCTGAGTTTGGGAATAAAAGCAAATTCTTGGTCAGAAGATACTTCAGGGATTGAACTCAGGACCTTGCACTCGCCAGGCAGGAGCAGCGCCTCTGAATTACATTCCTGCCAGAAGATAATCCTTTTAAAGTAGCTGGAATACCTCCTGTGAAAAATTAAAGAAAGGCACTTTGGAAACTTAGACATGACTGGTATACTGTTCTTCTGTATATAGATATGGTCAAGTAGAACTGTGTAAGTGTATTAGTGAAAGCCAATAGGAGAAACTAATTGCAAATCCCACAAATCCAAACTTGTGTCATGTGTTAAGTGTGCTTTGGCAAGTACCTTGTGAGATTAAACTTCTCCTTCATCATTTGACATACACCAAGAATGGACTATTAGTAAAGAGTTCATGAAAACATCAAAACCTGTATTTCATTCAAATGACTCTTTGTAAAAATTTGTTTACAGAATACTTAACTCCTATTAACTATATTTTTTCACATGATAAAGCAATACTTTGGGAGGCACAGTGCCTTGCTAATACAATATTTACATTCACTGACTCCATATGACCCAGTGACTATAATGAATGAAGCAGAAATTGAAACTAAAGAGAAATCATGTGACATCTATCCTCAGGACTTTAAACACCTTTTTGAAACTAGAGAATGTTCCAGTGATGTGACAGTAAATGGCTGTGTGATAGCATCATAGATATATATACTATCAGAGCAATAGACTGTCAGGACATTATCTGAACAGTTTATTTGGAAAACACAACACAAATGAAAAAGAACTACACTGAAGAGTGGACATCCTTTCAACAGAAGATAACTGTTCTTGTTCAACAGACTAAGAAATTCATCTCTGAAGTTGATACTATCAACACTTTGGCTAAAACAATGATTGCTATTTTATTCACAACTGAATAAAAGGAAAATTTTCAGTTAATTGTGGATGTATCAATTGAATTGACTGTGTTTTAAATTCCTATGTCATAGTGCTGGGGATATAGCTCAGATGTAAACTGTGTGCTTAGTAGGTATTCGTAAGGCTGTGGAGTCAGATGGCACTAACATTTAAGAAATATTGTCTACTGTAAACGTAATGGCAGTTTTAGGGTATTACCAATTGAATAAATTTAGTTTATTTTTTTTAAATCCTTTTGGCTGTCTTACATTGTATTTAATTTAAATATTCCTCTTTTATCCCTGTTGAATTTTTCACTCCTGGGGGCAAAAGAGTTTGTATAGTATTAAACTTAGAAAGCAAATTTTTAAAAAGAATGCAGGGGGCTGGGGATTTAACTCAGTGGTTCCGCTGCCTGTCTTGCAAGCACAAGGTCCCAAGTTCAATCCCTGGTACCAAAAAAAAATAGAATATATTCTGAGCCTAGCTCTCCCTTTCTAAAATATTAAAAGTACACCTCCCATATACATTAAGTCATCCAAGAATATCAACCTTTTATTTATTTATTTGTTTGTTTATTTTGATTCTGGGGATCGAACTCAGGCCCTTGCTCTTGCGAAGCAGATGGCAGAACCACTGAGCCAAATCCCCAGCCCTACATTAAGCCATCTGTAGATTATTTATAATTTCTAATACAATGCAAATGCTGTTTAGTTGTACATGTTTAATTTGTAGGAAATAGTTACAAGAAAAACAAGTCGACACACATTCAAGAGAGATGTAATTTTTTTCCCCCTGAATATTTTTAGTCCATGGTTGCTTGAATCAGATACAGAGGGCCCATAATATGTTGATCTAACATTTTGGATATATTGTATTAAAATAAATTTCACCTGTTTCTTTTAATATATGGCTGCTAATTTTTTAAAAGTTACATATGTGGTTCACACTGTATTTGTCTTGGACTAGGGATATACTGCATAGCCTGTATTGTATTGAGACCTCCATGTAGAAAACATGCCTAAACTCCTTTAGAAGAAAATGTTAGACAATGGACAAATCCCATTTCTTTTAGAAATGGCTCTCCACTTAAACATATTCTAGGTCTTTCTCATTTCAAACAAAGAATTGAACAAGACAAGCCAAAAGAGTGACAGGGTTTATTTGAAAAGGGAGGTAAGGGAGAAGCTGGCTCTGCAGAGCATACTTGAGGCGAACAAGAAAGGAAAAGAGAAAAGCAAAAATAAAAGTACACCCTGGCCCAGAAAACACAGGATGGGTACTGTGAAGAATCACGATAGCAGGTTCCTCATGCTGTCCTGTCTCTTTTCTATCATCCACATCTAGGGGGTCCCGAGGCGGTTCTGTGTAGACCCTCGGACCCCATCATGCCTCTTTCCCTAGCCAGCCTAAGTCACACCCTATCTCCTGTCTTACCACCAAGAAAATCCTAACTTTCTTTCTTTCAACATATTCAATGTGCCAGATGATTCATGTTCCAAAAGGACTAGTGCAAGCCCCCACTCAGGTTAGGCCTCATAATACCTCTCCCATCTTCCCCTGACCTGTGCTCCCCGCCTCCCAAGCTCCTCTCTCTCTGGCCTGCCTCTCTCAGCTGCCTTCTCCCAACCTTGTTTTCAGCACCTTCTTTTTCCCTTCACATCCTCCCTGGGAGACATACATTTTACCTTCATGCAAATCACATAAATTTCACTATCATGTAAATCCAGGCGATTCAGTACTTTATTTAATCGATTAGTTTAAAGGTCAGGATAGTCTGTTTTAAGTAAGCCCATGAAAGAAGAACCTAGTACCCTTAAAGAATAAAGATCTCTTGCTTCCTGTTTGCAGCTCTTCTCCACCGTGTACCTCTGCCTGCCTGTGTAGGGGCATGGGGTCTGTATATTTACAGGGGAAAGGCCTTATTGGGCTTTCTGGCTAATTCTGACTAGAAAGAGTTAAAGCTTCCCCAGAGAAAGCAATTAAGACTAGAATGGAGGTGGACAAGCAGAGCACAGGGGAGGGAAGTCAGGTGCTGGAAACCGAAGTAGCCACCCCTCCCCGACCTCAACGTGATATAAAAGGAAACAAAGGGCAGCCACTTCAAAGAAAGTACTCTCATGAGACCAAGACCTGTCATGTAAAGGTACAAGATCCCAATGATGAATGTAACTGTACTGTATACCTAGAATGTACCAATAAACTCAATGAGAGAAAAAAAGCAAGTACCCCCCTCCATATACAAGGACCCAAGTTCGATCCCTGGCACCAAAAAAAAAAAGAATGTTCACGTAAACACTGGTGCAGGGGGTTCGGGGTGTTCGGGCCTGAAATGTATTTATGACAGCACAGGGAACCAATCAGATCATAACAAATTCCAGGTAGGGGGAAGGGCCCTTGAGCCCCCATAAAAGCAGTCAAGGACAAAGGGCCCACAGGTTTTTCTGACTCTAGACTCCCTACTCTTTCTCACAGGGTAGCTTTCTGTCCTTTCTTTACCTTTCATACAAATAAAGAGATCTTGTTCTTCCTTCTAAACCTTGTATTTCTAATTCTTTTCTTTTTCTTTTCTTTTTTTATTTGTTACCGGACATCGAACTCGGGTCCTTGCACTTGCGAGGCAGGCCACCAAAACCACTGAGCTAAATCCCTGGCCCCTCTAATTCTTTATTGGTATAAATTTATGATTCCCAGTTGGCTGGGAATCAGTGTGGTCACACCCGCTGGGCACACCACCTTGAAGCCAGGAGATTATCGACTGAAATACGGGTCCAAATAAACCTCTCCTCTTTTAAGCTATATTAGGTATTTTGGCCCAGCAACAAGGAGGCTTCAGTTGGGAATAGGCTCCCCTGGCAGTTGGAGTCCAGGTCATTATGCTCTGGCAGAAAATGCCTCTACATTTTGCTCATGTCCTGGAACTTTGCAGAAGACTTAGAGTGACAGACTAATCTGGTGGAGGAAATTTCAAGACAAGTTCAATGTTGAGACTGGGATGAATGTTTTGGGGCTTTTAGCCAAATGTACAGTGAAAAATCAAGAGCAAAAGACTTATTTTTAAAGTTTTCAGTTTAGCCAGAAAGTGCCCACAAAGATAGAGGAGAGCTTGGTTGCTGAAGACTAGCATTAAAAAGAAGCCAAGTTAATAGCTAAAACTTGGAAATAGCCCAACTGCCCATCAACTGGAGACTGGATAAAGATTCTTTTTTATATAAAATGGAGTACTACCCTGCCTCAAAAAACCAAAAAAAAAAAAGGAGTACTAGCCGGGCGTGGTGGCACACGCCTGTAATCCCAGCACTCAGGAGGCTGAGGCAGTAGGATTGCTGTGAGTTCGAGACCAGCCTGGGCTATATAGTGAGTTCCAGGTCAGTCTCAACTACATAGCGAGACCTTGTCTCAAAAAAGGAAAAAATAAAAAAATAAAATGGAGTACTACTCAGCCATGAAGAATAAGAAACTAGAGACATTTTATAGCTAAGTGGATCCACACTGAGGCCATACTCAAGTGAAATTAATAAGACACACATGTGTAAATACTAAATAGTTTCTCTGGTGTGGAAAACTTAAGAGTATATAAGGATCAAAATGTATAATTGATAGTGTGAAATAGGAAGAAAAGGTCTAAAGGACTAGAAGTGGGAAGGATAGGGGAAAGGTAAGGAGGGAAAAGAAAAATTATGAGAAAAGAAAAAAATGGAAAAAAGTCTTTGTAAATAGTTAAGGGTGAAGGGGGTGAAGGGAGGGCAGGGGAATGGGGAAAAAATAAGAAGATACATCATGTAAAGGTACAAGGTCCTAATGATGAATGTAACTGTGCTGTATACCTAAAAGGTACCAATAAATTTAACGGGGGGGGCGGTGCAAGTACTTTGCACCCAGATAATGGGAAAAAATGGCTTCAGGGCATGTCTGTAATCACTAAGACCCTTCCCTCCCCTTCACAGGATCAAATGTGCAAGTCTGTAAAGTTTTCATCAGCGAAGAAAGCCTGGGGCACCACACTGGAGACGGGCCACACAGGTAGTTGGTTCCCTGGGACTCAGTTCACTGTAGCCACCATTCAAAGGGCCCAGCGTTTAAGCTGACGACAGAATTTGACATCATTGCTCATTTTATAGACATACAGAATGCAGATTTCAGAAGGCCTGAGATGCCAGAGTGCCCCTCGAGATGGCAGTGCATGAAACTGACAGTGAAGCCAAAAGTGCAATAGAGACCCCAGAAAGTGGGAGATGCCAGGAACATGGAATGCCTAAGGAAAGCCACAAGTGAGCACAGCCAGCCCAACCGAGAAGCCACGAGGGGTGCAACCACCAGCAATGCTGTAGAGGTGGGGCCACCCAAGCTCTTTGGGGTTCATATCCTGCGACAGCCTGCCCCAGGTGTTGGACATGGAATTACAGGGTTTAATGTTCTCCCTGCTGGATTTCAGTCTTGCTTTAGTCCCATTTGTTTCTATCCCTTTTTTTGGAATGACATGTTTACCCTGTTTAGTTGTATGCCAGTAGTGTTTAACTTTCCTTTTGTTTTTTACAGGGACTCACAACTAGCCATTGCCAATTACCAGTTCTAAGGACTAGTTACCAATGAATGTCATGCAATGAGCAGCTGTGCTCTTCCATAATGGTCTGCCTTGGAGATGACCAACTATGCAAGGACAAACTTCTATAATGTGAGCTAAAATAAAGCTCTCTACCTTAACAAAGGATTAGCTGCGATTCAAACTTACATCACCTGTAAAATTCCAAAAATAAATGGCATATTCTAAAAGGAAGGGATCAAGTCAGAGTCATTTATAAAGTTATAGAGTTATTTATAAAGAATGTTTAAAACTTACTGATCTGGGCTTCCTATTTTCTGGTCCACCTTCTGAAGAAAGTATTACATGAAGTGTCCCAAAGGGATGGTATGGTTTAGACATGGTTTGAATGTATACCCCCAAAATTCATGTGCTGGAAGCTTAGTCCCCAGTATTAGTGATGATGAGAGGTGCAAGGACTTTTAAGAGGCAGTGCCTAATGAGAGGCAATTAAGTCTTTAAGACGGAATAATGCTTTTAGAACACAAGTACATTCTTGTTTCAGTGCATTTTCATAAAAGTAGACTGTCACAAGCAAGTCCAACACCTCCTTTAAATCTCTTTCGCTTTCTGTCTCAACATTAGACCTCCTTCCTTCTCCGCCTGGTCCTATCATGATTCCACCCACCATGAGGTCCTCACCAGAGCCAAGCAGAGTAGATACTGGGCCATGCTCCTGGACCCCCAGACTGCTGAGTTAAACAGAACTCTTTTCTTTAGAAATGAATCAGCCAGCTACAGACATTTATTACAGCAACACAAAACAGACTAAGGGGCAAGTGAAAAGTTCCAAGATAACACCATATCAGGCAAATTTGGTCATGAAGAAAAAATTGATGTTCTTAATCTGGGACACACAGAGGGAGGTCCAAGAAACTCTGAAACTATGAGCAAAATTCTGGGTATGCATGCATATATTATTTAATAAGTGTAAGGGTCTATACTCTCATCAGATTTCAAGGAACCAAATAAACAATACTGCCATCTTACTTAAAAAGTGAAACTTGATTCAATTATGAAGGTAAAGAAAGACGATCTATTTATATGATTAACACTTTAAGAACCAATGATTTTGAGCATGTAGTTATTAAGTTCATTACAGAGAACATCTGTTAACTCGATATATCTTCACAGTGTGATCTTCACCACAGCTTGCAAAATGTAACCACTCAGCACCTTCTCCTTCACTCTGTTCAGCTTTTCCACTGCAATTCTTCCAGCGTATTTTTCTGATAGCAAGTGTATGACTTTGGCTAAAACCAAGATAGAAGAATCATAAAATTAATGTATGTCATGACTACAAAATTTTTTACAGACTCCTCACTTACATATTAATTTATGTATGCTCTACTATTAGTGTGTGTGTGTGTGTGTGTGTGTGTGTGTGTGTGTTTGTGTGTGTGTGTTTTGTACCAGTGATCGAACTCAGGACCTTGCACTTGCAAGGCAAGCGGTGGAACCACAGAGCTAAATCCCCAGCCCGAAGATTACTGCTATAAACATGAACAGAAGTAAAAACCTGAAAATTAAAATGTATAGGTTTTTAATACTACCACTAATACTTTGGCGATTTTATTTTAACTTGAAAAATATCTTACTGTACTTATTTTTAAAATGGCCATATTAGGTTTGGGACTGTAGCTCAGTAGCAGAGCATTTGGCTAGCATATGCAAGGCCTTGGGTTCAATCCCCACTACTGGAAAAAAATGTCTTAGTGATCAGTAGAATTCATAAAATGACGATTAAAGTCAGTCTTTCAGACAACAGTGTTAAAGAGTTTTTCTAACAATTTCAACTTTGCATTATATTCTAGATTATTATTATTATCATTATTTTTTGACATTCCTGTGAGATGGATGGACTTTTATTCACATTTTTATTGCTGTGTAAAGAAAAGATAATGAAAGACTTAACAAACTACATAGCAAAAGAGTCTTGGTCTTTAGTGGACCTGCACTGGGCAAGACAACCATATTAATGTCACCTATTAACCTGAGAGCTCCCACCAAAGGCAGACCTAGAAACCTATCAAACACAGGTTAGTACTAAGTGTCTATGAAAATAGAACACACTCTATATATTTAACCTGCAAAGTAGATCTCCAAGCCAAAAAGGAATAAAGTGTGACATCTAAGTAGATTTTAGAACAGTAAACCATGAAAACGCTATTGGCATATATAAATTATGTCAGATGCTGAGAGTTCCTGTCACCAGGTGCGCTCACTAAAAAAGAATGAAGTATAAATTGAAGCTAATGAAAGACACTTAAAAATAAGCCTACCAGGCCCTATGCAACCACATGCCTGCAAGCCTGTACAAGTGGTCAGTCCATTGGTAATACTATGCCACAGTGTTTCCTGAAATTCCGCTACAGGAAATACTTCCTTATGATGTATACTGTGGCTTCAGTACCTCTCATACAGAGCCATCTTTGAGGATTTTGTGATTATTGAAAGTAGCCCAGAGTTATATGGAGGTGAGCTTTAGAAATAAATGTGAATGGCTGGCATAAACACAAATGGTAAGCTTTATTACAAAGGCAAACAGTAAAAATATTAAAGCTCATTCATTTCTTTGGGGGATTTAGCTCAGTGACACCATGACTGCCTGACACCAAAAAAAGATTGGAAGTAATGACATCATTAAAACAAACATATTTCTTCTCAAGGGAGTTATTTTGAGGACCAGTACTTCTTTGGCTATATAAAGGGTTTGTTTTGGTTTTGGTTTTGGTATTTCCCTTCAAATTTACCAGGCTAACACATTACAAGATATAGAGGGTTGGGGATGTAGGTCAGTGGCAGAGTGTACTGGGTTTTTGCTCTAGTACCACTCACACACACACACACACACACACACACACACACACACACACACAAATAAATAGACTTTGAGAAGCAAATATAAAAGACAGTGATTACTTATTTTACCTTTGAATTTCATTGTAGCAAAACTAGATATTTGGTAATTGAAACATCAGCATATAAATAATATATTGTGTAAGGCAGGAATTAGTTTCACCTTGCAAGTTCTAAGTCTTAAATGCAGAAAAAAATCTTAAAATTAAAAATCTAAATTCTTTTATGTCCTTTCCTATGCTTTCTAAGGGACTTCCTGCCAGTGTCCTACACAGAGGCCATACAAGTGGCCTGGGTACCAGATCAGAAGCACAGTAAGGAATACGGATAGGCAAGGTAGAGAAAAAGGGAAGGGAATGGAGCCCAGTAAGAGACAAAGTGTCAAATGCGTTGAATATGAAATTTCAGTGAGTTTCTTTTTGCTTCAGCAAACCAACAGCGTAAGTGATTTCAACTGCTAAACCCAGCATTGGAGATGGGAGACGAGCCAGAGTAATAAAGGGAGAATCTCACTTTAATAAATGTAAGGAGCACTTAAAATGCTTGGCCAATATGGAGATAAGCTCCACTGGATGAAACAGGTTGTAAATGACAAAAGGCTCACAAAGCTCTCTCCATTAAGTCATTCACTTTCATGGTGACACTATCATTTACAGTTGTATCTGAAATTATATTTGGAACAATACAGATAGATGAAGGCTAAAGAAGCCTAAGAAAATGTGACACCGAATGATAATAGTAATGTATTAAAAGTTTAGACATTTTTAAAGAATAATATGGGTTCAAGAGTAAACCTTAAAATGACCTTTCCAGTCCAGGTGACTGGGCATGTGGGAGAGGCTATAAACACAGGTACTGTACTCCATGAAAGCTCAGGGGGTAAGGGCCGTGCCCAGGAAGCTCCTGCTGTGGTTGAAAGCTACTCAGGGGGCTCTGAGAGACATGTGATGATTTGCTCCATTAGAGGATCCAACATTATGAATTTCAAGAGTTCCTCTTAGTAGAAAGTATCATGGACATACCTTTGGTCTGTTTCCATACAGCGGACCCAGTCATTTACTTCTGGAACCTGATCAGTCTTCCTCCAGGTATATATGCAAATCTTCCCACATTCTAATCCAACTGCCACCACATATCTGTTTTTAAGGAAGGAGGATAACAGTGATTAAATTAGCATGAATTTCTGTTATCTCCACCATTATTCAAAGGTAGTTCTTTACAGTGTCCCAAGCCTCCCTCGGTTACAGAAGACTGTGGTTATGCACATATGTTGTGTCACTTTACTGTGTCCCCAAGGAGCCTTATCTCTCTACAAAGGTTGCACACAGGAGCCAGTATTTTCCCAGCTTGCTTCAGGGACCCCTATTCTACTAAAGACACCTACTACAAAAAAGTACTATAGTCCTGTAGGAGGTGAAATTAACAACCTTCCCAGACACATTCCTAATATGTATTTCACCAGTCTGAACTACTGAGTTCTATCACGGTAAAAATTCTTATACAAAACATTAATTGTTGTGAAAATAAGAGCAACTCAGAAACAAAGAGAACACATGAATTAAAATAACTGAGAAAGCAAGTGGTCATCATAAATGAAACATAAAACCAAGCCCCACAAAAAGAGACTGACCTTTGGGAAGGGTTAAGCATTTGGCAGACACTGACAGCTGTCACAGCCCCGCCCACATCCAAGACTGAGGAGCAGGGCCCGATGCTTTGCTCAATGGAGTCTTCAGTGGGGTCACACTCACCCCAGACCACCACCTAACGAAGAGATCACACTTGTAAAGCTTTCTTTTTGTGAGGTTTTTAGGCAATGTATTTAAAGAGTGCCAATGGCTAATTAAAAATATCTATTCTGATATATTAAAAAACTGCATTTACATTTGTGTATGACATCCTGAAACTTCAGAGCATTTCAAGCAACACAGAGAAGCCACAGTACGGTTGACACCAGTCTCTTGAGATCTCCACTAACAATATATGGTTGGTCCAAGATGGACTGTCTCCACTTCACACTACAAAACAATTCTGATTCACAGAAATTCCAACAATCACATTTTTTTTTTAGCTTTAATTGAGTTTATTGGTACATTTTAGGGATACAGTACAGTTACATTCATTGCTGGGATCTTGTACCTCTACATCACAAGTCTTGATTCTCATTTTTTCCCCTTACCTCTGGCCTCCCTTCACCCCCTCCTTCTTTCCCCATCTACAAACACTTTATTTTCGTCTTTTCATTCTCTCACATTTTTTTCTTTTCCCTTTTTA